TCGACGAGAAGATGCTTGAAAGTGTCAGCAACTCTACAGAAGGTGCCGGATGGGAGTGAACTTCCAGGAAAATTTGACATTTTATCTACTTCCACAACTTAAGTGAACTGTTTCCCGATTTTTAAATGCATATGACTTCTGAGTAACTCCTAAATCTCTAAAAATAACAGCTGAACAAACTACAGTCCTTGTGTGTTCAGTCTTTGGCTCTATGTGGTATCTCTTGTTTTCGACATAGCCATTATCCGTCTCTACACCTGATCCTGTGGTTCCTGTCGCTGCTCAGCTTGCACATTTGACCTGGTGGCCGCATAGTGAGAGGGATGATGGGGAAAAGAGAGGAGAAGCAGAGAGAAATAGAGAAGGTAGTGGTATGCAATGTAAAAGTGTGAGAGGGATTATGTGTTACATGAAGAAGAAAGGGTGATGAAATGGGAAAGTGAATAAATCAGAGGCAGGAATAAAAAGAAAAATGGTAGGGAAAAAATAAACTGGAAAATCAAAGAAAACAATACAGTTTGGTAGAAATGAAAACACGTCATTTCAATAGTAAATTACAGCTTATTTGAATAAGAAATCATGGAAGGAGTTTTATTTTGATACACAGCTTGTGGTTGATTGTTACCATTGTCACAAAGTCTGTGTATTGTATTGCTTGCAAAAGGAATTGCTTTGTTTTCTTGGAATACCAAAGCATATATCAAATTAACTGAATTTGAATAGAAATGTGATGAAGGAGAAACAGAAGGAAGAAGTGGAAATGTGTATCTGTCACACGGACAAGACAATTTATTCAGCGTTATTTACCGCACACAATTTAAGCCCAAGGCCGCAGCTCACATTTACTAGGTGTCCTCCACCGTGTTAGACCAGGTGTGTTTGTGTGTGTGTTTCCGTGCACCATCAATCAATATACATCAAATACTTATTTTGACACACACACACACACACACACACACACACACACACACACACACACACACACACACACACACACACACACACACACACACACACACACACACACACACACACACACACACACACACAGGGTACAGATTACGCGGCATTAATATGGTGTCAGACAGTTGTGTGCGTCATTCACACATATCCATAGTATAACACCAAACGCCATAATGCTGACACGGCAGTCGGTGCTCCAGAAGTTTTAATAGAGACTTCAGAACTTTCTCACAGCATGTTGTAAATAAGAAGACATCATCATTTATTCTAACCACTGCAGCATGAGTCATATTCAATGTGGTAGAGATATCCTCAAAGTGTCAAAATGATAAGGGTAGTTCTGATATTAAAGGTCACCTATTATGCAAAACCCACTTGTTCATGTCTTTTCTACATCAAAATGTGCCCCCTCTGTGTAAAGAGACTCTGAAAGTTTCAGGAAAAAAGATTCTCTCTTTTTGTCCTGATCCATTTATATAATAACAAATCAAATCAATAACAAATAACATCAGTCATATTTAACAAACATGATTCCGGCCTGAGGTCTAAAACGTTTATTAAAATGTTTAAAAATAATCTCCCGTTCATCGCGTCCATTCGCGACCCACCTATCACATCTCTGCGCCCCACCAGTGGGGCGGGCCCCACACTTTGAGAAATGCTGATCTAAAGTAACAGACAGAGAATCAGCAATATAACTGAGACCTATAATAAAGTAATGAAAAACAGTATAATAGGTGACCTTTAACTCTAAACATGCATCTGTCATTTGTCAAAGGTGAGATTTGATTCTCTTGACATGAACTTGTTATCTTTATCCTTCACTAACGAGTGTTACTGCAACTAAATTCTGCAATCTAATCTAATATTAAATCACACAGTCCAATTGGAGTTACACAAACAGCAAGGCTGCTCTGAGACAGTAATTAAGTCATATTTAACTTACTAGCCAAAAATGTAACAATGTTATGAAATAATTGTATGAAATGTTGTGGGATGTTAGTGAGATGAATCCTCCTGGGGACCATTAACATTTGTACAAAAATGTAATGGTGTATCCGATAGTAGTTGACATTTTTAAGTAGAGAACAATATGATCCATTGTCACCACCATAAGTAATAGGTTTTACTCCCATTTCGCCCCTTCCCGTTTCGCCCCCAATCTATTCCCATTTTTCCCCTTCCCATTTGACCCCCTGTCCCATGCATCATTAGATCTATAAACTCTAACCCTAACCCTAAGACCCACGACCAAGCAAAACAAGTATAATTTCTTATGTGGCCTAATGTAAAAAAGGGGCGGGATGGGAAAGGGGCGAAATGGAGAAGGGGCGAAATGGGAAGACACCAAGTAATGCATGCCTAGACTACCGGATATATTTGAATGAATGTTCTCCGTCACAAAGGTTTTACAGCACACTTTTTCTGGCAAGTCGTTTTACAATTTGTCAGTGAGTAGTTTTAGCTGTTCGCACTCAAAGTTTGAGAAAGAGTGTGCCATTAAGTCTGAACAATCAAGATAACAACGTGTAATTACAGAAAAACAGAAGACAGATGTATTTGTTTTAGACTGAGAATGAAGTGCTTCTGAATATAAAGTAGTATATTGTGTTCCTGCCGGACTGTTAGATGTTCACTGGAGGCCAAAGTAAATGATTATCTTCACAGCACGTAAATAACTACCAAATTAACTTCTAAAACAAAACTTTAGGCAATTTAACTTTTATGTAAAGTAATACCAGCAGTGGCAGCGGATGAGACTAACTCTGCTGCGGCCATTTCCTCCAAACACTGAAAACAACCGGCAGTTGATGAAAGCGGTGCGCAGGAGGAATGTAATATCGCAGAGAGAGATTTTTCAGACAAGAGGGGCAGACTGACCTCAGATAATACAAATCTGACTGCCCGTCCACACACAGGCATGAAAAAAATCTTTCAAAGCTTCGCTCATTCACTTGAATGGGGTGACGTAGAAGATTTGTAATCTTCGCCGAACTGCATTGTGGGGAGCGGAGCATGGCTTTGCAAGCATCGTGAGCATCAAAAGTTGAGCAATGTTCAACTTTTGATGCTCCCGATGCTTTCGAAGCTGGCATCAGCCAATCAAATCCTGTTTATGCAAATCCCGCCAGTACAAGCGCTAGCCAATCAAACCGCGTGCAAGCTGGGTACGACCAGTACTATTTACCGGGATACAAACCGGAGGAACCAGGCATGGAGGGAGGGGGCAGAGACAGTGGGTGAAACTGGTAGGTTTTCGCCTGTTTGGAGAGTTTATATCCAGTTTACTTCGTTTTAACATTGCTATTGCTTTGTATGTCGGGGGCGGGAGATTCATGTGATTGGTTTTTGGTCGCGTTGCTCGCAAAAAATCGCCAAGCTTCAGACACGCCCAGCATCAAGATTTTTTGTGATTTTTTTCATGCCTGTGTGTGGACGGGCCGTTAGCAAAGGCTTTTGCACCGGTGAGGTCAGTAATATCTCAGAGCTGGTTTATTGCACATTGCCTCCCTCACAGACAGACAGACTGTCAGGGTTTTGGTCACTTTCACCTGTAAGCTGTACCATGAAATCCACTTACACGACAGCAAAATACAAAATATTTCAGTTTCTAACTGTGGTTCTTTCTTGACAAAGACAATGAGATCTTTAGAAATAACTCATTAGATAGTGGTACATGTTAAATTAGTTCTTAGAGAAGATATGTAACCAAATATGTCTCCATTTTCAAGATTTATAATGCTTGTTTCATTATTTGTGGACAGAATATCATTCAGAAAAGCAGGTACTCCTACTAGAGCTTTGATCAAATATTGTTTTGTAAGAAATACTCAAAATCACTGTCTAGTTAGATGGGATAAACCCCCCTCTTATGACTGCCTATCATATGTGAAGTAACAGCCAGGAAATAGGTACTTAAAAAATATATTTAAATGCATGTGATTGTGTTATCATTATTCATCATACTGCATTACACAGTATTCATTCATATCATGTAATGGTATGCCTCTGGTGATTACAATGATTTTCTTCATGGCAATCTTTTATGCTTATTCTCTGCCATTGTTACAGTAGCCGAGTGATAGTGGTAGTAGCTTGTTTGGTTCAACACCTCAACACTAAGTCCTGACAAGTAGCTTTAACTGGACACTCGATCTACACTTGCTATCACCTACCCCTGCATTTCCACTCACAATCCACAAAATTGAAAAATAAAAAGCTGAGCGATAAAAATACATGCTGTTCCTTTTGGTGTCACCTGCCAACCTTAATGGATCGTTTTGCAATAATGCTTTCATTCTGTGAGGCTGTTGCTGCATAAGATAAACATTTTGCCTTTTGAAAAGGTTATAGGGTCAACAACAATTTGAACAGAATGTGGTACTCAAAGGATAAACACAAATGTAACTCTTGTGCAAAGTCATTATAAGAGAGGGCTTTAAAGATTTGTAAAAAAGTGCCCTCGCCTTTTTCTCTCACCTTTATTTCTGTATAAATCTTCAGTAGGTTTGTGGATTGAGCGATGTTCACAGTTTGATCAGGGTTAACTGAAACAACTACAGCATTAACCCTTTACAGTGGAAACTAATTCTGCTCCCAGAGCGGGTAAAGCTAAGCTCCGGCTAAATTCATGGTGCTTCGACTTTACTCTGACTGTGATCCCAGTCTAATATAGGCCAGGAGATGTTGTCCTTGGGCCATAAGCTGGTTGCCAGTATGAGCAGTAGCTTATTTAACTGATTCAAACAACAATTCAAGTGTTTTCTATTAGCCATGTAGTTGGTCGTACTATTTGTGATGAAAGAAATATGTCAGTACATATTGTGTGTGATTAGGATATTAATCAGTGAACACAGAACACATGAGAGAGCAACAATAAGACCGGTATCATAGGTCTCTTTTGTGACAGTTCAAAGCTAAACCAATGCTAAAGCTAATACTGTAACATGTTAAGGTAACACTTTATTTTGATAGTCCATAGTTAACACTCTATAAGTCATCAGTTGACATTCAACAACACTGTTTCAACAGTTCTGTTGATAGGTTATAGACTTTCTACTGTTCTCAACTGTTTTTCACTTCAATTGGATAGTCCTAACACATGCCTACAAACGCTTAGTGGAGAACCTACTAAAAGTATACTAATNCAAAAGCTGAAGCAGAACGTCCCATTGCTTCATATCTATGATAAGAACGTAAATCAAGGGCAGACCCTTGTTCCACACTCATCAAAGAAGACATGTCAAGCCTCAAAATTCTTGTTCGTGGCAGTGATGAGTGGCGAGATTATGCCGTCTTTTCCCAAGGAGGGTACAGGCACGTCAGGGTCAACCACAGCCAGAATTATTGTGATCCACAAACAGGACTACATATCAGTAAATATTGAGAGAGCCATGCCAGCTACATACAAGAGGGAAGTTTGGCGTTATGCCGCGCCCGGAACGGGTTCCCTCACTCAAGAAAATCCTATGTAAAAACAGCTGTGCCTTTTCATTAGAGTGGACCCCCCCCCAGTGGACCCCCCCCTACTGGCTTCCCTAGCCCACAGAACCCCCCTACCCTAACACATGCCGCCCCTCCGGTACTCTGGAAGAACATCACGGGACATGCTACCCGATAGTTTAGGACCTTTCTGTACGGCAAATTATTGTGTTAACGCCTGATCAGCCCTCCGCACACCCCCTTATTACTACAGGTTAACCCCCACACATTGGCCCGAAAAAACCTCTTTGTACCCAATCTCATACACAGCAAAAAAAATAAAATTGTATTTATAGTTCTTTAAACATGTAACAAATCTGCAGCTGCAGTGATCTATTTCCGTATTGCTGGTATTGCACTACCAGCCTCCACGGCTCCCGACTACAATTGGGTGTTTCAACCCACTTTTACTTTCTTTTACCCATTTCACCACCCCTGCTTCAGCCTCTCCTTACCCCCCCCCCCTCGCTGCTCCCTACCTCTACCTTAAACAAAAAAGTCTCTCCTCTTCCTCCTCCCGACCTATCGCCTGCCCCTGTATAGCTGTTTTTTCTACTGTGCTTATATAGCCTGGTATTGACTCCTCCCCCGCCCTCCCCAACCCCCCAGTGTTCTGCTGCCCCCATCTGTTGCTGCCCACAAACATTCTCCCCACCGCTCTCTTTCCCCCACTATCTGTTGTCCCCCCCCCCCACTCCCCCCCTTCATAGTGGCCTCCCCTGTTATGTGTTGTTATGCGTTAGGTTATACTTTCACTGTCTAACTGTTTTCCACTTTAACTACTGGAATAGTCTAACCATGCCTACAAACGCTAGTGCGACGAGAACCTACTGAAAGTATACTAATAGTCAACTCTAGATTAGTTGACGATCAACAGATAGTCAACTAAACTCTAAAGTTGCTTATCTGTTGATCATCAACTAATGTTTAATGTAATAGTCAACTGAACTTTAGTTGCTTATCTGTTGATCATCAACTAATGCTTAATGTAATAGTCAACTGAACTTTAGTTGCTTATCTGTTGATCATCAACTAATGCTTAATGTAATAGTCAACTGAACTTTAGTTGCTTATCTGTTGATCATCAACTAATGCTTAATGTAATATTCAACTAAACTTTAGTTGCTTATCTGTTGATCATCAACTAATGCTTAATGTAGTAGTCAACTGAACTTTAGTTGCTTATCTGTTGATCATCAACTAATGCTTAATGTAATAGTCAACTGAACCTTAGTTGCTTATCTGTTGATCATCAACTAATGCTTAATGTAATAGTCAACTGAACTTTAGTTGCTTATCTGTTGATCATCAACTAATGCTTAATGTAATAGTCAACTGAACTTTAGTTGCTTATCTGTTGATCATCAACTAATGCTTAATGTAATAGTCAACTGAACCTTAGTTGCTTATCTGTTGATCATCAACTAATGCTTAATGTAATAGTCAACTGAACTTTAGTTGCTTATCTGTTGATCATCAACTAATGCTTAATGTAATAGTCAACTGAACCTTAGTTGCTTATCTGTTGATCATCAACTAATGCTTAGTTACTTGTCGGTTTGAACGGTGCTGTTGAATGTCAACTGATGCACTGTTGACATGCTACTAAATGTCAACTGATGACTTATAGAGTGTTAACTATGGACTATCAAAATGAAGTGTTACCGAAAGAGATCTTGAGTGTTTGGTATACTAGAGATCAAAGCTGCAAGCAGACGTCCCATTCTTCGCCT